GTTTTGTTTCATTCACACATGTTTAACTCACAAATTCTGAGTTGTTCTCTCACACAGAAAACACTCTGTTCCACCTTGTGATGTCATGTGATCGGAAGTGCTTGAGTGTATTTTAAACTCATGGAAATCCTGGAAAAGTCATGGAATTTTAGCATCTCTTTTACACAACTCCAGCGTTCTGTTAAGTTCTCATGAGGCTATTATGATTATTTCCAAATGTCTTTTGTTTAAAAGAGACAACAATAAATGCACTGACAGTATTTTGAATGTTAAAAAACTATAATACCTAACCATAAGGTGAGTGGAAAGTAGGGATGGGCATTTTCATTGATTATGTTCATTTTTACTCGACAACCCGAATGTAGGTTGCTGTGCGCCCTATAATCCACTGAGTCGTGTCCTTTAGTCCAACAGAAGTTGACCGCATCAGCACGCAACAGCTGTTTGTTTCTTCTCTTAGTTTATGCAAATTAGCCATGTAGTTTTAAGTTTTGTTTCTGTGAGACTTGCACAAAGCTGCATTAAACACATTCTAATCTGAAACAAACTGAGGTGGCTCTAGAGTGGTTATGATTTATATGTCGTAAAGTTGAGTTTATTTATACAGATTAGTCCTGCAGATAGTAATAATAATGATAATCATCTTAATATAAAATCATTAATGATTAATCGATATACTCCCCCGACGATCGATTAAGAAAATTTTATCGAATGCCCATCCCTAGTGGAAAGGGTTAACATTTCATATTTAACCCTAAAAGTTTGATCAATTCTGCACATGTAGGGCGCCGTAAAGTCATGGAAAATTCACTTTAGGTCATGAAAAAGTCATGGAAAAGTTTTGAAATTTTGTCACTGAAAAAGAGTGGGAACCCTGCTCTGTTTACCTTCAGTAGAATCATCTGGATGATTTCAGCCTTGGAATTGGCTACAAAATCTAAACCTCTCAATACGATAATTTCACAGTACACTTACAGTACGATATTTATTGCAAGATTTTGAGTAGGCTAACAAAAGTGTGAATATGCGTCTTTTCTGTCATAATGCAAAAAATTAAGATGTAAAAATGTTTAATAACAGTTATTTCAGCAAGTAGATTGGACTGAAACAAAGCAAAGGATCCTGGTCTATGTAGTTCTCTCTGTTCTTAGCTGTTGTTGCACCATAACAATGAATTTAGAAACTGGTAATTCAATATATTGTGACGGCCCACGATCTCATCAAGAGACTTTTGACGCTACGATATTGGGATATTTTGGTTATTGTTAATCCCTAGAATTGTCTATCTGAACAAAAGGTAAAATCTAGCTGTTAACTTGAAAACGGCTCCATGACATCACAAGGTGGTACAGAGCATTTTGAGCTTTGGAGATGTAAACAGACTAATAATACAGGATTAATCATGAAACAAAACAGGTCCAGGTCTGTTTTTGAGGATTTAACAACATTCTAACATGGCTTAAAGCTCACAAGAATCCATTTTGTGTAATATATATATATTTTTTTAAAACACATGTGTTTTGTCTGTACATTTATAGGTAGATGTACTTTCATCTATAATTTTACCAGAACAGCAAAAAATCTTGACATTTCTAGTCCAACCATTCTGTGCTTTGTCATTACTGGCATAAAAAAAGGAACAGGAAGTAGATTTCACCAAGTCATATAATATAAAGCATGGGTCTCCAACCTGTTGCTTGGGAGCTACCAGTAGCTTTCCAAGAGATTCCCGAATTACATGTATTATCCTGAATAACTCAAATTTGATGAATTAAATGCCTATTATTATTATTATTATTATTGTTGTAAATCTATTATTTTGATGCATGACTTTCTGCACTTACAAATAAATAGTGGTTTATGTTCTATGTTTTTTCTAACTGTTCCACATCTAAGTCTTGCCATGGCTCTTACAGTATTTATACTTTATTTTCTGTGACCATTAAAATTAGTAGCTTTCTGGAATTTTTGTTTTGTAGCTTACTCAAGGAAAAAGGTTGGAGACGCCTGGTATAAAGACTCAAAAGGACTTGAAACTGAAAGCGTACGCATCAGACTTGGACTTGATGTTGCAAACTGAAAACACTCATGTGGTAATAAAAGAAGTGCTTCACTGTGTTTTTAAACTCCGTACACCTTCACTAGAACTTGAATTATTACAGCCCTGGAGCTGCCAATTGACATCACAAGTTGGAACAGAACATTTTGAGCTTTGGGGATGTAAACAGACCAATAATAAAGGATTACTCAAACACGTGTGAATGAAACAAAACACAACTTGGTGTATGTTTCTGATGACAATATTCTGGCTTAAAGCTCACAGTAGTCACTTTTGCGTAATATAGGACCTATAGAAATCAGTTGGAAATGCATCACCAGCTTGGAAGCAACAAGTATTTATGTCATACTGCGTAATTACATCTTTCCTCTTCCATTTTCAGTCACTTTCTCTTTTCACTTTCTCTGATTGCGATGTCTAACACTGGAAATTTTAAACTGGACATTTTTTAGCAGGATTTGTTAACAGGAAGTTCAAGTAAAAGTTACCCCCTGCTTCTATGGGAGTATGACTCAGTATTTTGGCTTTGCAATGAATCTTAAATTACAGAATGATGACAGAGACATCTGGAGCATTGTATCCTGTTCCCAACCTTTTTCTGTCATCAGAAGTATTTCATGGGGAAATTTCATGCTGATTATTAGATAGGACTGCAAGAACATCTCTGTACTCACTGTGACTAATTAGTTTTATTTACGACCATTAAACTATAAAACCTTAAACTGTATAATGAAGTGTACTAAGGGAGTGTGACGTCACCCGCAGCGTTCGGCATCAGTCCAGTGAAGCTCATGAGGCTAAGTTAGGGGCGAATTTGGAGCTGAGTTCCAAATTAGAAATAGGAATTTAATTTACAAAATAGCAAAAAAAAACCACAAGCATTCTGTGGCTAGAACGAAAACCACACTGCTGGGTGGAGAGTCCTTGCCTCAAGTGGAGGAGTTCAAGTATCTCGGGGTCTTGTTGATGAGTGAGGGGAGGATGGAGCGTGAGATTGACAGATGGATCGGTGCAGCGTTGGCAGTGATGTGGTAGCTGTATCGGACCGTTGTGGTGAAGAGGGAGTTGAGTTGAAAGGTTCTCGATTTACCGCTCAATCTACTTTCCTCCCCTCACACATTGTCATGATTTTTGGGTAATGACTGAAAGGAGAAGAATGTGGAAACAAGTGGTCGAAATGAGTTTCCTCCGCAGAGTGGCTGGGAGCTCAGCCACATGGGAGGAGTTCGGGTAGAGCCGCTGCTCCTCCACTTCGAGAGGAGCAGTTGAGGTGGCTCGGACATCTGTTCCGGACACCTCCTGGGCGCCTCCCTGGAGAGGTGTTCCGGGCATGTCCCACCGGAAGGAGGCCCCTGGAAAACCCAAGACATATCGGAGGGACTAGGTCTCTGAGCTGGCCTGGGAACGCCTCGGGTTCCCCCAGGAGGAGTTGGAGGAAGTCTCTGGGGTGAAGGAAGTCTGAGAGTCCCTGTTTAGACTGCTGCCCCCATGACCTGGCCCATATAAATGGAAGAAAATGGATGGATGGAAAAACACAAGTATCATATTACTTATTATATCACATTTAAGACCAAAATGAGGAGGCTCACAGCAGCAGGTACAGAGAGAGGACACATGTTTATGAAGATAAATAGACATAAATAGAAAAGTGACATGGTGCACCTTTAATCTTTAATGAGCTTTTCCCCTGTTTGCAAATACTCCTGCTTTAATGGTGCACTGTGTAACATTTCTATTGGAGGGTCCGCCACCTGCTTGTCTCCATGGAAATGTTACTGCTTTGTCTGGAATGTTCCACAGTACAGATTAAACCTCTCTATCACAGGGGAGACAAGCAGGTTACAGTACTAGCCACATCAAATCAATAACATCTGCAGCCTTTTACCATCTAAAACATAGCAAAAATCAAAGGTTTACTGTCTAAAGCAGATTTAGAGAGACTTATCCATGCATTTGTCTCCAGTAGGTTAGATACTGTAATGTTCTGCTCACTGGCCTCTCCAAACGAGCCGTGAGACACTGCAGAACATCCAGAACGCTGCAGCTCGGGTCCTGACTTGAACCAGGCTCTTGCTCAGGTCTCTGCACTGGCTTTCTGTGCTACCTGTGTAGACTTGAAAGTGGCTGTGCTTGTACAAGTCTCTCTATGACCGAGCATCAAAGTACATCTATAACATGTTAGTGCCATATGAACCATCTCGCATTCTGAGGAGCGCAGGGACCAGCCTCCTGCTGGTGCCTGTAAGAGAATTTAAGTAACTTATCCTCCACATACATCTAAATAGACTTCTCCTGCTTAAGTTGGTCTCCGGCCTTTTACTTCCACCCTTTTCTGGACAAGCTGAAAACTTCTACAACAGTGCCCAGAGTCAGGACTAAACACAGGGAGTCAGCTTTTCAGATTCATGGTTCTGGTGCGCTGCATATGACTGAAAGGTTTTCATTCTGCACTCTTCTCTCTCACTTAATGTCTCTCTCTCCATTTCAATTTCACGATGATTATTTATTTTTTGATTTGTTTTTATTGTGATTTTAATGTATTTGTTTTTTTCTCTAAAGCACTTTGAATTACTTTGTGTACGAATTGTGCTATACAAATAAACTTGCCTTGCCTTGCCATTACGCTACATTACAGTTCAGATCTGTGGAGAATCGCCCCTATTCACAGAAGGAATCATTGTATTACTGAGCGATGGAAACACTCAACATGAATAAATGCTAAATGGATATGTTTAACGATTTTACCATGGAACATTCCAGGCAAAGCAAGAACATCTCCATGGAGACAAGCAGGTAGCGGACCGTCCACCAGAAAAGTTGTACAATGCACCTTTAAATACAAACATTATATTACAGTATTTCTTCATGTGCCATTATTAACAGGGGCCTCAGTCAGGAAACAGGCCAAGTGTAAACTGTTGTATCTGTGTTTGTTTTTCAGGGAGCAGTAGGAACCAACATCACCATCGAGGTGCTGTGCGGTGTCATGGCTGATGCGTCTCTGGGGGACCCTTATTACCGTTACGCAGCAGTGGCTCGCCTCATGATGCAGACCTTCTCTATGAAATGTCTTAACGTCAGCTTCAACGGCTACGTCCAGGACATGACGAATACCTCCTGGGACGGTCCGGCTGCAGGAGGCGGTGAGTGAGACAGGGACAGGGAGCATCATGTTGATTTTCTTTGTCTTCATTATTAAAGGTGCATTGCACAACTGTTCTGGTGGAGGGTCCTTCACCTGCTTATCTTGTTATTGCTTTGTCTAGAATGTTCTACAGTAGAACTCATTATTTCAAGGGAGACAATGATAGGCTACATTAAAGGTCAGATCTGTGGAAAGGCAATCCTATTCACAGACAGAATTATTGTGTTTTTGAGCAATAGAAGCACCAGTAATGAATAAATGTTAAATGGATGTTTAGTTTTATACCATGGGACATTCCAGCAAAAGCAATAACATCTGCACTGAGATGGAGCTTCCATCAGAAAAGTTGTGCAATGCACCTTTTCAACTGATTGTGTAAATTCAAGTGATTAAAAACATACAAGAAAACAGATAAACAATGTACAGAAAGATTACAAGACATAGGGGTAAAAGAGGGTGCATAAATGACTACTGTTGAGACTTGACAGTGACATCACACCGGGGGTGTGTGTGTGTGTGTGTATATCAGCGGAATGCTCATCAGTTACCACGCAGACACAATACACACATTCGCAAACAATCATAAGTTTTATGATTGAAGAAAAAGTACAAAATGGATTTTAACTCTAATTTAGATGTAAACCAGGATGAAAGCAGGGCTAGACCTGAGCTAATCCAGGATCAAACTACGATTAAACTAAAGAGGGGACTAAAGCTCGGTCTTAAGTAATTTTTTAAATTTATATAGCACTTTTCACAGACATTTGTCACAAAGGCGCTTTACAGAGCATTATTCATTCACTCCAGACCCGGTGATAATAAGCTACTGTTGTAGCCACAGCTGCCCTGGGGTAGACTGACAGAGGCACGGCTGCCATGCCAATCTGCGTCATCGGTTCCTCCGAACACACGCACGCACACACACACACACACCACTTTCATACTAGGCAATGAGGGTGAAGGACACAACGTAGACAGTTTTTTACGACTGGCGCCCCACTGTGATACCTGATTTTCCGAGCGGTCTCCCATCCAAGTATTAACCAGGCCCAGCCTTGCTTAGCTTCTGAGATCTGACGAGATCAGGCTTTGACAAGCTGGGACTAAAGCGGGACTAAAGTGGGGACTAAAGTGGGACTAAAGTGGGGACTAAAGTGGGGACTAAAGTGGGGACTAAAGCAGGGGCCAAACCAGCACTAAACAGGAACCAAACCGGGCCAAATGAGAAATAAACCAGGATCAAACTAAGACTAGTGAAGTGAAAGTATGATGTCAGTTGTTATAATTGGGATGTGACAATGAAATTACAGCTTCACTTTGGGCTGAAAATAGTCCAGACCTCAAGAAAACTGAGCACTGCCACAAAAATAGACAAAGGAAAATGGTGTAAATATAGAAGAGCTGCTGAAAGTTCACTACATAATCACTATTGCCCAAACAACACATGGTAATATTACAGTGGTACAATGTGGGGGCATGGATTAAGTCTGCACTGTATTGGAAAAGATTTCGGTATGGGATATTATTTGAAATGTACTTTTTGAAACTTATTTTTTTCAGTTATATTGAATCTAAAACCTGCATACATTTTAAAGAGGGGGTATTTTACTTGTATGGGGTATTAACTTCTAACACATAACATATTTAGATCATTGTGTTACCTTTTAGGTGACGTAGGCTTGTGGGTGGAGCCTTGTACAAAATCTTACAGCTAACCATGAGGAGGGTTTGAATAGACGCATCAAGAATCTCAGACTTCCGGTCATTGCATAATGCATACTGGGAAGGATTTTCCAAAAAAGTGAGCATCAAACAACCATGTTTGATTTCCCAGTGGGATTATTACTATTGACAAAGTCAGTCTATTCTAGTCTTTTGAACCATATCACTTTTGTTTCTGGTTCTGATATTGTCATATTTTAGTTTTGGAATTCGGACATTGTAATTATGTGGTTGTTGGATCCTAACAGTGGAAAACGGCTTGAGAAATGTGTTTGCAAACTCCATAAATGCAAAAGGGAATCAGATGTGTGTGACTGCAAACCTCTGTTCAAACTGTTTCCCTTCCCAACGGAATTGAAGAATAGTGAAAGGTGAAGGCGATGGGCAGGATTGATCGACAGGAAGGACCAAAATGGTCATCTCTGACTGCTTAAGAAATCATCCAGAGTTTGCAGTGAATATTTTGTATGTGGAGCACCAACAAAGTGGTATCCCGTTTGTTAAGCGAGAGGTTCAGAAGACAAACAGACTGAGCTGCACTTTCTTGTACTTGTGGCTTCACAGCAACATCACGTCTTGGTCTCTTTGCAGTGGAAGGTGTTTCTTGGCGAACAGTTGGTTCCTTTCGCTTTGGCGTTGACTTTTTAAATTCGTAACCAAGGTTGAGTGAGGGATCGGGATTTTGCTTTAATGGCGCTCCACAGACAAAATGTTCGCTGCAAACTTGGGATGATTTAGGCAGTCAAAGGTTTCGTTTTTGGTCCTTCCTGTGGATCAATTCTGCCCATCACCTTCGCCTTTCACTATTTTTCAATTTAGCTGGAAAAGGAAACAGTTTGAACAGAGGTTTGCAGTCACACACATCTGATTCCCTTTTGCATTTATGGAGTTTGCACAAACAAATTTCTCGAACCGTTTTCCACTGTTAGGATCCAACAACCACACAATTATGATGTCCGAATCCCAAAACTAAAATATGACAATATCAGAACCAGAAACAAAAGTGATATGGTTCAAAAGACTAGAAAAGACTGGCTTTGTCAATAGACACATCCCACTGTACAAACAAACATGGAGGTTTGATGCTCACTTTCTCGGAAAATCCTTCCCAGTATGCATTGCACAGTGACCGGCAGTCTGAGATTCTTGATGCATCTATAGGGACCGGGAAAGATCACTAGATGACTCAAACATACATGACTGACACATAAAACCATTTCAGGCATGTTTTTGATGAGGGACCAGTGTTCATGGTCTATAACATCTGTTTTGCATAATACTTCCTCTTTAATTTACGAAACTCTCAAAGGAGAATAATAAGTAAGATCTGCCTTTTTGAACATTTCCATTATTTAAAAAAGCACATTCCTTGGTTATATTGTGATTAATTTCATTTGCAGTTGTGATTGTGACTTTCAGTATTACAATATTTGGTGCAGTCTTACATGACTCTTTTGTCCTTTTAACTGTAACCGTGGAATTGAAATAGATTTAGTCAACAGAACAGTCACTGGGTCAATTCAAGTTAAGGCAACCACAGTAAACAACAACATGTACAGTTTAACCTGAACTTGAGAGCAGTCTGTGTGTCTCTGTGGCTTTATTTAGCAGCATTAGTGTCATTAGGGTGTCACTGACGGAAGTGCACAGAGGAAGTGGCTTTTAAAGACAGTGTCCATTTACAAACATGAACAAAGAAGGTTAACTTAGAGTCACTTTAGTCTTTTATTTTGTCTGGGTGTCTTTTTTGAAGGTTTGTTTCCCAAAATCATGAAAATGTTGTCTTTTTGTTATTTGTTTTCAGTTCCAGTGGTTATTTTTATGGTAAATCCAGACTGATATCTCTGTGTTATGAGGTTCCAAGAGTTTGTTTTCATACCAGGATGGACTGCTCACTAGCCGTGTTCCTCAGAGCAGGTCACATGATGTTGCCGCTGACACGTTTCCGTATTTAGATTGCCTCTTTAATCCAGCGATGATGTTTGTTGTGATCGTCCAGTCAGATTAGTTTGTTTCAGTGACATGTGAAGCAAAGGAGCTCATTGGTCACATATAATTTACAAATAACATCACATTTATTTCCGCTCAGAATAACAGAATTTAGCACTTTGCTTGTTAATTCTGATGAAACCCGCAGTGTTTTTCTGTCCCCTGTGATGTTTTTCTCCTTTATTTCTCCAATACGGCTGGTCAATCACAGCCACCTGTCAATCACGGTCGCCTGAAAACACAGAGAGTCACCCGTGACCAGACTCACATCTCCTGATCTGATTGTGAAATCAGAGTCTAGATGACCAATGACATATCCATAGAAACAAGAATGTGACGGACCCCAGCCAAAAAGTTACACAATGCACCAGATAACTTTTTTTTTTTTTTACATAAGTGCAGTACTTTACTACTTTGTTACATTCCAACAGCAAAGTAACATTATAATTAGGGGTGTGCAAAAATCTCGAAATATAAATATATCATATCGTTTAATGTGATGATACAGTATCGATATCGGGGGCTTTTGTATTCATATATCGCCAAGAGTATTTTTTGGTATATTTTACTAAATAATTTTGTTAGAGCTCCAGTTTTGTTGTTTGTTTAGAGGAAGAAAACTCGTTTATTTGACACATTTGACATTTTCACAGTTTTGATAAGTAAAATGTTTGTGTTTCATATGAACTTTGCAGAAGAAATGATTTAACAAAAACTTTTAGTATCACAACCACAATTTAGCCATTTTTTTTACTGAACCATATCGAATTGATTTGAAATGTATTGTATTGTATCGAAAGTGCACTGTATCGAGATTTGTATTGTATTGTGGCCTATGTATCAAGATATGTATCGTATCGGCAACTTCTTAAAGATACCCAGCCCTAGTGATGATACAGTATCAATGTCATGGGCTGCAGTATCGATATATCACCAATAGTAGTATTTTTTGGTATATTTTACTAAATTATTTTGTTACAGCTACAGTTTTGTTGCTTGTTTAGAGGAAGGAAACTCGTTCATGCAGCACATTTGACATTTTCACTGTTTTGAGGATTAAAATGGGTTGTTTCATATTCACTTAACAGAAGTGGTTTAACAAACACTTTTAGTATCACAGCCATGATTTTGCCATTATTTTTTATTGAACCATATCGAATCTATTTGAAATATATCATATTGAACCAAAAGTGCACTGTATCGAGATATGTATCATATCGTGGCCTATGTATTGAATTGACTGTTTTGGCAACTTCTCTGTGTGTGTAGAAGTGTAGAAAATGTCACGATACGTAATAATATTGAAGCTATGACAAAATAACCATAACCTGCTTTGATAACCCCAGTTAAGAATTTTCTAAATAAACTCTATCGTTCAACAGCAGTGCAAAGAAAAACTGACTTCACATTACAAATATTGACACAGCAAAAACATTAATTGTCAGTTATTGAATGGTAAGTCGACATCGTAATTATCGTAACAGGCCTTGCAGTTAGTGTCCATGAAAATGCTACATGAGACCAGTGTACTTACTGTTTAATATTTTCTTTACAACCAGACATTATCATTATATTTCAGTACATTATCACAATATCAAATAGTTGAAAAGTAAATAAAACTTGGAAAACGGATGTACCAAAACCTGTGCCCTTGATGTCATCTGATTCTATTTGAAGCTTGTTTTTCTGCTGCAGGGAGACAGTGGGTTTACCAGACGTGCACAGAGTTTGGCTTCTATCAAAGCACTGATTCACCTGACCAGCCCTTTGCAGGTTTCCCTCTGGAGTGAGTAGACTAAACACTAACACACTAATGTCCAATCCCTCTAATTACAAACCTGTTACTGTTTTGCACAACACTTTAAAGTCTGTCTCCTTTCCTACAGTGGTGGAGTCAAATATAACCTCACTTTAAATGACTTAATTCGTAATCACCATTTAAAAAACTAATTTAAGAACTGCAATTCCACACAGTTTTTTTTGTTTTAACTTTTCTGGTGGAGGCTTGTTTTCGTGGAGATTTTTTTTTTTTTGCTTGACCTGGGATGTTCCACAGTATGACATTGTATTTTTCTGACTATAAGTTGCACTTTTTTCACGGTTTGGGTGTTTCCTGCGATTTATACTCCGGTGCGACTTATAATATTAAAATTTTCAGACTGACAGCCGCGAGAGGCTCTAGGCTTGTGTGTCTGTATCTAGTACTATTATTACTCCTGTACCACTGTCACTTTGCACTCTACTGCGCATGCCTCCTATAGAAAAAGTCGCTGTCCTGCTGCAAGTAGTGAAATGGCCAAAAGCCGAAAACGGTAATCGAGCAGCAGAAAGAAAGTTTGGAGTGAGCGAGAAACTTGAGAGGGACTGGCAAAAAGCAGGGATGGAGAACACAGCTTCACGGCAACAGGGAGGGTGCACCATGCAACTTTCACTGGTGCACCATGCAACTTTCACTGTCACTGGATGAATCAACAAAGCCTGAACTTCAGGGACACCGAAACCATCCTGTCGGGATTCAGAAATGCCGGAATAATTCTAACTGGAACTGATGCTGAGTCTGACGACAGCGACACAGAAGAGAAAGTGGCGCTCAGTTTATCTCATGGATCTATGTTTTATCTCCGGTGGTTGCGCAGAAGTGACAGAGAGGATGAAAAATTCAGTGGATTTAGTGATTTGGAGTGAGATGGAGAGTTTGATAAACTTGTGTTCTGTTGTTTATGCTATAATTGTCTGAATAACTGTTCATATGTTACATTAACATATTAATGCCTATTCAGCCTGTTTTTCTCTATTCTATTGTTATTACTGTAACTTGTTTTTCAAGATAAAATGTCGGTTCCTGGTCTCTGATTTTACAAAATACATTTCCCCAAAAAGTGTGACTTATAGTCTGGTGCGACTCCTATATGTATTTTTCTTCTTCATTACACATTTTTTGGCCGGTGTGATTTATACTCCAGAGCGATTTATAATCTGAAAAATACGGTAAGTATTTATCTCCATGGAGACAAGCTGGAAACCCCACAAGGCCAAGTTACAGGTCAGTTCCATGGAGAGGCACGTTCACTTGCAGCAAAAATGCAAATTTTAAATTTAATTTCACAGTTTATTTCACTCATTGCACTGTTAATGATTAAATGCATGACCGATAAGTTTAATGGCATACTGTGGAACATTACAAGCAAAGCAATAACATCATAGAAACAAGCAGATGGTGGACCGAAAAAGGTTACAAACACACAGACTAATAGTATTTATTGCTTATTTTTTAGCATCACACCTGCAAAGCTTGCTGTTGAGACTGATGTTCAGATACTAAATATGATTTTTGTCCATCACTGTTTAATATATCTCGTTTGTACATCTTTATATTTTGAGTGTTTTGTTCAGTTACCAGGTGAAGCAGTGTGCAGACTTCTATAATGTGAGCGCGGAGCAGCTGGCTGATGCCGTGGCTCAAACCAATGAATATTACGGAGGATACAACATTCGCTCTTCCAGAATCGTCTTTCCAAACGGCTCCATAGACCCGTGGCACGCTTTGGGCATCACCTCAGACATAACGCCTGATCTCCCAGCTGTTTTCATTAAAGGTAAAACAAACAAAGCAATGCACAAGTTATAACTGAAACTCATTATGACTTTAGAAGCTGTGAGCAAAATAAAAATATAGAAGTTGTCTGGATTTATTGCATTTCAATTTAAAGCACAATTGACTTTTATATGGTTTCCCCTCATCATTAAAGGTCCCATATTACGTAAGATTGACTCTTGTGAGCTTTAAGCCATGTTATGATGTTGTTATTGCATCAAAAACATACCCGGAGTTGTGTTTTGTTTCATTCACACATGTTTCTTATTAGTCTACCTCACCAAACCTCAAAATGCTCTGTCCCACCTTGTCATGTCATATAGTGATAGTTACCTGGTCCCCAGGACCAGGTTTTATATTCACCCTGTGTGTGTGTGTCTGTGTGTCTATCCACACACAATAATTCTGCCATCACCAAATTTGGTTCGTGGGTCCACCCCCCGTGCCCAATGCCACAAAAAAAAAGGTTTGGTAACGATCCAAGGTCATTTGAGGTCACATGGGTCAGTTGAAAGGTCACACCATCATAAAGGATATAAGGCAATTTTGGCAATTTCTGAACCATCTGTGGCCAAAATATTCACCCAATCATCACACAGGTTGGCACACACATAACCGGGGTACACTGGATGTTACAGGTTGAAACCAGTCAAGGTCATTTGAAGGTCAAGGTAACCAAGGTCAAATATGGGATTGAGCTCCAGCTACGGGAGTGTCTCAACATCTCAGAAAAAATATTATCTATTTATAATTCTATGCATTTGTACAGTAAAATATTAATAGTTTTCGAAATAATCACTAATTATAACAGTTCCTTCCTCTTTGAGTGTGTGCCGTTAAAATTCAAATTGGAACAAAAATAATTTCCATTTCTTCTTTTTCTGGTGATACACAAAACACTGATCTACAGTTACACAACTAACACATACACAGCTCATGAAAAATGACATTTTGGTGACACACTAGTAAACATAAACATTCTCATGTGTGACCAATATCACACATATGTTCACGGGCCTGTACACATACACACATTACCTTGTGGATATAATGATCATGTCATATGGACTGACTCCTCATAAACTGCTTCTGTGCTGATGAACTGCCCCCACCGATGCCTCATGGGGACCAGGTTGATATCTGATTGCACTTATTTTCAGCTCCTTTTATCTTTTGTTCAGTCGAGATTGGGAGTTCCAGAGCTGAAATCATTCAAAATCATCCAAATGTTTCTAATGAAGGAGTGCGAGTTTAAAAACACAGTGGAGCACTTCCTGTCTTATCACATGACATGACAAGGTTTCAGTTTGAGAGAAAAACTCAGCCTAAATATGCTGCATTTGTGTGTTAAACATGTGTGAATGAAACAAAACACATGATGAAGAAACATAACATAGATCTGAAAAGAAAGTAACATGGGCCCTTTAACTCATTTCATTTTGAAGGATTTATGCATCTTTACTGTCAGGCATTTGAGGCACCATTACTCTAAAATTTGCAGTCTTCACCTACCTCCCATACACACCCACTGCTGTGTACGCCGTGATTTGCCATAGATCTCACAGTCGAAGTCTTACATAACACGAGCCTGCATTTGCCCATCATCGCCAACTCAATTTTATCATAACAATCGGCTATAAATGTTTCTATTGGGAATTTCCTCCAGATGTGTCCTATATATTGTTTTTATTTGGCCAACGGTTTTCAATAAACCAACCTTTACATCCAGAATTACAACATAATCATTGCTAAAGTACATGCCAGGAAACTGAAACAATGCTTGCCTGTAAGACTGGACTTTATTTGGTGGGTAATTGCTCTTTATTTTTCCCTTTTCTACTATTTATACATCGCCGTCTTTCCGATTTAGGAACTGCCCACTGCGCCAACATGTACCCAGCGCGGGCAGAGGATCCTGTTCAGTTGGCGATGGCGCGTGACCACATCTTCTTACTCCTACAACAGTGGCTCAAGCAGTGACTGGACTGACCATGACACAGCTGTTTATTTGGAAAGGAAAACCCATTTTGGTCGAATCGCGGACACTGGGACACCGCAAGTGATTTTGTTTTTATGGCTGCTTCACACAAGAAAAGCACATGTGCACTAGAATCATGAAAGCTTGTACATTTGAATGAAGAAGTTCTTTTTAAAATATGAATGTTTGAATGGCTTTGTTGTCAATGAATGAATAAAATTATTTCTTATCCTTGCCTTTCTCCTGTTACGTAGATTTTATTTGTTTATTGATTATTTGGATACAGAGAGATACACATAAATGAAATTCAGTAATTTGATGATGCAGGTATCACAGAGATAAAGCAACATTGCGTCACTTTCTGGAGGCTGCATATCACCTGCATGATTCACTTTGGAACATAGATAAGTTTGCCAAACTGTGGAGTATTACCGTAAAAGAGGCAAATTTCTATGACGTAACAAGCAGAGGCCCTCCTTACAGCCACATAAGAGTCACTTCTTGAAAATGCAAGCCAACTCCGAGTATGGGAATATAAGGGTGCATGTTTTTTTGTTTTGTTTTTTGTTTTCTCTTTTTTTTAAACGCTTTTCAATTCCGTTGAAACAAGCAAATCGGAAAAACATGCATTCATTTTAGACTTATTTGGTTACAGTTATAGCTATTTGTTCACAAACATCCAAACTTTTTCTATAGCCCCAAGCTTCCCTCTGTGTTTATTTTCCACAATGCTCTACATCTAAGCTGTGGACTGCAGGGCGTATTTTTGATCGATGCTTCCTGATAGCAGAATCACAAACAACCAGACAACAGCTAGTGCTCCTGTATTAATTGTTAAACCTAGACCTATATTACAAATTGCAAAACTGACTCTTGTGAGCCTTAAGCCATGTTAAAACGTTCTCCTCAAAAACAGACCTGGAGTTGTGTTTAGTTTCACTCACACATGTTTGAGTAATCCTTTATTATTAGTCTGTCTACATCTTCAAACCTCATAATGCTCTGCTGCCCGATCTTCTGACATCATAGAGTGGTAGTTTTCAAGGTCAGATACCCTTTTAGTTTTTTAGTTCAGTAGAGCTGGGCAATTCGGGGGCTGAAATTATGAATGATTCTAAAGAAGTATGAAGCTTAAAACACAGTGGAGCACTTCCTGTATTACCACATGACATCACAAGGTGGAACAAAGTATTTCTAGTTTGAGAACTCTGAAATAGGCAGAGTTTTTGCATTAAACATGAGTGAATGAAGCAAAACACAACTCTAGGTATGTTTGTAATGAGGAAACAACACAAATCAGAAAATACTGTGGTAAATAATATGGGCCCTTTAAGTAAAATATTTATTCGTCTGTTTTGTGTGTTATTTTATTTGTGTGCCTCAGTTAAGATTTACAGTTGACTATTTTGTAACTTCAGTGTCATTTACCCTACTATTATCTCTTTATTTGGCAGGAGGAAGAGTAATTTGAGAAAATGTGCCACTTTTGCTACTTATATTATATATTATTATAGTCTAAATCTAAGGATGGGGTGGATTACATAGTGGTAAAGTGTCATTTGACATTTCAATTTGCCTCAACAGGACATGGGAACTGGCTGCACTCCGCAAAACAACTTATTCTAAATACAAAAGAGATGGGGGACATTATATTTGTTGGTGTTGTTCATTCTTTAACGAGTGTAAGGCTATATATGCTCAGTGTTGGGGAGTAACAGATTACATGTACCGGAGTTACGTAATCAGAGTACAAATTATGAGTAACTGTATTCAGTTACAGTTACAGTTTTAATGAGTGGTAATTGGATTACAGTTACTTTGTTGAAATAAATAGATTACACGGAGGTATTTGCCTGTTTTCACATTTTGGGCTATATCCCCCTTTTTTTCTAAATAATTTCACTCATTGCCAGAAAATAAGACAGGTCTAAACCAGGTCTAAACCAGATCTAAACCAGATCTAAACCAGGTCTAAACCAGGTCTAAATCAGGTCTAAACCAGGACTAAAGCAGGACTAAAACAGGACTAAAACAGGACTAAACCATGCTGTGCGGACCGTGTCTCCTCCTCCTCTATCAATAATATTTTTAATTTGGTTGAGTAAAGTCTGGGCTTTTTTATTGTTTTTTAGCAGACAAAACATCTTATGCTATGATTTCCTAGTCTTTGCTTCTCTACAGCAACACAAAGTAATCCAAAGTATTCAGATTACGTTACTCACTTTAAGTAATTTAATGGATAACGTTACAAACTACATTTTGGGGTATGTAATCTGTAATCTGTAGGGGAATACATTTTAAAAGTAACCTTCCCAACACTGTATATGCTCTTTTTTTCTACTTGCGCTATCCTTCCCTAAATAGTTTTGCTCGTCGTTTAGCTTCATCAAGTTACTAACACAAAACAGGAAGTGATGTAGAAATTGAAATTATAAATTACCCAATTTTGTTATTTAAGTAAAAAAAAAAAAAAACACAGAACATGTATACACATTTTTAATTTTAACTTATATATAACTAATATTAAAAGGAATAACAACAATAACAATATCTCTTTAGAAACGGTCAAATTCTCTAATGGAAGCTTTTATTTCGAAGGCCAAGCGGAAGTGGTGAGAGGGCTAGCCAGACCCTCTTGTTTCGGGGCGTTTTCTTGTAGAGGAGAAGGCGGAGTTCATTTCAATAAAGTCTTGAGTACAACCTCCTCTCTTTGGTCAGTGGTGTTTGAAACAAGTTGGGAGCTGTGTGGATTATTTAGATTACGTATGAACTGCGTATTTGGATAACAGGTAGGGATTTACGAAGATAAAACACTGCATCAAAAGAAGTTACGGTAAGTGACAAGGACCGCAGCTAGTAGCGTTTTAATGTAAACGTGACGCATGTCGTGTGCTCAATTTACCATGAACAAATGTGTACTTTTACAAACTAAATCACTCAAATTATACATTCTTTTAAGTTTCTTCATATGTTAGTTTAAATTGCAGTATATTTGATCACTGGAAAAATGTGATTAAAAAAATCTTGAATGAATTTGTACATTGCATGGACATGAGGTGTATTGCTCAATTTGAATCATATGTTGTCATATTAATTTAAGAAAACCGTAAACTCTGAAAATAATACAACTTAGTCTGACAACTGCACTTACAAGTCCTTATCCCACTGCAGTACGTTAGATTACTTTAAATGACTTTAGAAATCTTTCTGTAGAACATAAAATTGTGAACGTGGTTAATCTTGACAAAATGATCTTATAGGTGCATCAAGAAAATGATTACACAATTGGGAATCTCAGGGCATTTGAGCAATTCTAATCTTTGAAGTTTTCGTGACAAATTTGCAATCCATAAACAAGTGTAATAGTACCATGCCATTACACTGATGATGATTTATTAGGTGATTACTCTAGAGACCTTTTGAGTCATCCACTCAAAAAGTGTGACTTTAAAAGTGTGATGTAGACTGACTGACTCACTCACTATAATTGTCAGAGCTTCCTCCTATAGTAATTTGAGATGAATCGCACACTGGGTACTTAACTGCTCAGAGCTACTGCTTTATTGTGAAACGCTCTTAACAAACTGAAATTCCAAAACAGCTATTGTGCTTTTGAAAAGTCGTGTTTACATTTGTTCACCATATCAAGTAATCCAGTTTTCTGCTTCACCGCATTTGATTTCATTATGTTTTATCACTAGATTAATCTTTAACTCACCCTTTCTCCCTCTGTCTCAGGTTAAAATGAAGCCAGTGTCTCTTTTGTGGCTGTGTGCAGTGGCCTTGTTTGGCTTTGACTCTGTGCTGTCCCAGACCCCTTCCTACGGAGAGCGGGGGTCAGATTTGGGCATTCAGGTTTTCCAGCAGGTCGCTCGCTCCAAGCCTCAGGACAACGTGGTGTTTTCTCCCCATGGGGTGGCCTCAATTCTCGGCATGCTGCTGAGTGGAGCCCATGGAGACACAAGGAAACAGATTGTCACTGCTCTGCGCTATAAGAAAAATGGTTAGTAACTTCATTTATTATTGTATTGATTTAGATTTTTGAACTTGTTGATGTTTGTTATAGTTTGACTTAAAGAATAATGTCCTAATTGTTCTAGATTTAGAGAATGTTGATGATTGGCAAAAACAGCTCAATAGATAAAAACTTACACCAAAAATCAGGATGTTGGAAGGTTTATATTACATTTTAACAGGTCTACAACTTTGTTACATAAAACATTATTCACTGTACTATACAGTAGGTAAAGAATATCGATTTTTGATGCAGAAGCACTGATTCAAATTCCCTTTTTAACTTGTATGGGACAATGAGAATTTCACTAATGTGAATCTTGTATATTATTTATTTCCCTTCCAGGCCCTTATAAAATGTTGAGGAAGCTCCACAAAACTCTGACAGCGAAGTCGAACCTGGACGCTGTGGTCATCGCCAACGGCCTCTTCACTCAAGAGGGATTTCCGCTGGAGGAGGAGTTTGTGGAGACCAATAGACAGAACTTCCAGAGTCTGACCAGAAGTCTGGACTTCAGTAACCCCCAGGGGGCAGCAGCCTACATCAATGAATGGGTCAACAACAACACACAAGGTAACAAAAGACAGTTTAAGGCAAAATTGTGCATCCTTGCTTCATCCCATTTATTTTAAAATATGACATGTACTTTGAGACCAGTGTGTAGAAAGCAACAGACAGCACAGCAGACAAGTGTATTTGATGGCCAAAGCCGACACCCGATTAGACAGAAGTAACGTGAATAGCATCTTGTGGTGAAATGCCAGAACTATGGCTGGGTAACATTCAGAAGTTGCCGATACAATAGATACCTCCATACAGTGCACTTTCGATTCGATACAATATATTTCAAATCAATTTGATACAGTTCAATAAAAATAATGGCTAAATCTTGGCTGTGCAACTAAAAGTCTTTGTTAAATCACTTTTTGTGCAAAGTTCATATGAAACACAAACTTTTTAATCATCAAAACATAGAAAATGTCAAATGTGCTGCATGAACAAGTTTCCATCCTCTGAACAAGCAACAAAACTGTAGCTCTGTAACAAAATAATTTAGTAAAATATACCAAAAAATCCGCTTGGTGATATATCGATAGAGCAGCCCACGATATTGATACTGTATCATCACATTAAATGATATGATATCATTATCAATATTTTGATATTTTTGCACATCCTTAGCCAGAACACAAGAGGGTGGGTCGGCCAATCTAATTACTAGTGGTGTAACGATATCCAAGTCTCACGATACGATATCGTCACGGTATGAACCTCACGATACGATATTTATTGCGATATGGTGGGGAGGCTCACGATTAGAGATGTAACAATATCCAAATCTCTCGGTACGATATATTCACGTTATACATCTCACGGTATGATATTTATTGCGATACTTTGTGGAAGCTAACTGTTAATATTCTTCTTTTTCCTCTTAAAATACCTTGACAAGACTTAATCCAAAGAACTAAGACTTTAAAGTGCTTAGAACTGTTATTTCTTCTTGTAGTCTGCACTGAAATGGAGCAAAGGATCATGGTCTATGTAGTTCCCTTTGTCTTTTTTTAGCTATTGCGTAGAGACTTGTAATTCGACATATTATGACAGCCCACGATATTACTGTGAGAACTTTGACGATACAATATCACGATATTTCGGTTACTGTTACATTTCTACTAATTACAGAGGGTAGCTTTGAAAGTAGACATAATATAAATAATAACTGTTATACAACTGTGTTCCATCATCATTATCTTACTCAATGTTGTACTTCAGTTGACTCATGCATGTTTGAGTCATTCTTTATTGTTCTGCATTTGAGCCTTGAATGCTAAAAACATGTCCTGTTTTCATCTACCACCAATCCCACCCACATCTATTTATTAGAAAAAAATTGAACTCAGAGTGAAACCACACGTCAATATTGAAAGCAGTTTTATTTTACTATTATTAATGTAAAAAAGACTGATCGATATGAGAATTTAAAAACAAGTAATCCAAGTAATATCAGGAATTTATATTTTGTGATTCGTCCTGTCTGACCCCTGTCCCTGTTTTTATTCACGGACCAAACTGAATGTCTCTTTGTATTCTTGATCTTTCCAACTTGCTTTGACTTTTGTGGTTTAAAGGTGCATCTTCTCTGGCGGAGGGTCTGCTACCAACTTGTTTCCATGGAGATGTTATTGCTCTGCTTGGAATGTTCCACAGTGTAACATGAAGCAGCTCTACCTTACATCTGTTAAATTACTGGTGGTTTTATAGCTCAAAAACTGGTCTGGTTTGGTCTCCTTGAAGATAGAAAGGTTTGAAAATTCCAGACAAAGCAATAACATCTTCATGGAGAAAAGCATTCACCAGAAAAGTTACACAGTGCACCTTTTAAATCTCACGTATCTTTTCCGTTCAGGCCACATCCCCAGCCTGGTCAAAGCGGACATGCTGGACTCTGCCCTGACGCGACTGGTAGTGGTCAACTCCATCTTCTTCAAAGGGGTGTGGAAAACCCGCTTTCAGCCGGAAAACACCAAGATGAGGCCTTTCACTGCGGGCAACGGGAACGTGTACAAAGTCCCGATGATGTCCCAGCTGTCGGTCTTCAACATAGGTAAGCAAGTATAAGACTTACACAAACTTTATTGATCCACAAAAGAAATGTATTGCTCACACGTGACAATATTTCAACCTGGAAAGATTCTTTATTGGATAGGTGAAGGGGACGATGAGAGGATGAGAGGATGAGGAGAGCAGAGGGGACAATGAGAGGATAAGGAGAACGAAGGGGGCGATGAGAGGATGAGGAGAGTGAAGGGGACAATGAGAGGATGAGAGGATGAGGAGAGTGAAGGGGATGATGAAAGGATGAGAGAATGAGAGGATGAGGAGAGTGAAGGGGATGATGAGAGGATGAGGAGAGCAAAGGGGACGATGAGAGGATGAGGAGAGCCAAGGGGACGATGAGAGGATGAGGAGAGTAAAGGGGGCGATGAGAGGATGAGGAGAGCAAAGGGGACGATGAGAGGATGAGAGGAGAGTAAAGGGGACGATGAGAGGATGAGGAGGAAAGGGGGATGAGAGGATGAGGAGAGTGAAGGGGACAATGAGAGGATGAGAGGATGAGGAGAGTGAGGAGATGAAAGATGAGAGAATGAGAGGATGAGGAGAGTGAAGGGGATGATGAGAGGATGAGGAGAGCGAAGGGGACGATGAGAGGATGAGGAGAGCAAAGGGGGATGAGAGGATGAGGAGAGTGAAGGGGACGATGAGAGGATGAGGAGAGCAAAGGGGACGATGAGAGGATGAGGAGAGCAAAGGGGACGATGAGAGGATGAGGAGAGTAAAGGGGGCGATGAGAGGATGAGGAGAGTGAAGAGGGCGATGAGAGGATGAGGAGAGTGAAGAGGGCGATGAGAGGATGAGGAGAGTGAGGAGGGCGATGAGAGGATGAGGAGAGTGAAGAGGGCGATGAGAGGATGAGGAGAGTGAAGAGGGCGATGAGAGGATGAGGAGAGTGAAGAGGGCGATGAGAGGATGAGGAGAGTGAAGAGGGCGATGAGAGGATGAGGAGAGTGAAGAGGGCGATGAGAAGGATGAGGAGAGTGAAGAGGGCGATGAGAGGATGAGGAGAGTGAAGAGGAAGAAGAGGATGAGGATGAGGAGAGTGAAGAGGAAGATGAGAGGATGAAAGGATACAAGGATGAGGAGAGTGAAGATGGCGATGAGAGGATGAGGAGAGCAAAGGGGAGGATGAGAGGATGAGGACAGTGAAGGGGACATTGAGATGATAAGGAGAGTAAAGAGGACGATGAGAGAATGAGACAATGAGAAGATGAGGAGAGCGAAGGGGACAATGAGAGAGAGACGAAAAGTTCCATAGTGCACCTTTTAACACTAATCTGACAAAATCATATTGTACATTTTTATAGATTTATTTATTTATTCAAAATGTAAATCTGTAAATCTCTTGTATAACATTTCCAAACAAGTGCACTCTCTT